ATAGGGCAGTTTAAGGTTCACACAAAAATGAAAGGAAATTGCAGAGTTCCCGCAATCCCCTCCTGACCGACCCAACACTGTAGTGTTCCCTTTTATTAACATCTTGCATCAGTGTGGTACCTTTGTTACGGCTGAGTCAACATTGGTTCACTACTGTTAACTAAAGTCCTGAAGTTTACATTGGGGTTTGTTTTTTTGTGTTGTATATTATGTGGGTTTTGACCAATGTATAATGATGTGTATCTACCATTCGGTGACATACAAAACAGTTTGACTGCCCTTAAACTCCTGTGTTCCACCTATTCATGTGTTCTCCTTCCCTGCTAACAGCTGGCAACTACAAATCTAGCAAATCTCCATAGTTTTACCTTTTCCAGGTCATGTGGTTATAATCATACAGAATGCAGCCGTCAACCTGAAATATGTAGTTTAGGTTCCGCCAAGTCTTGTTAGGACAGGATAGCTATTTCCTTATATGGCTGAATACCGTTCTACTATATATGGACTTTTATAGAAGCTTGCCTATCCATTCACCAGTGTAAGGACATCTTTATTGCTCCCAAGGGAAAACTAACCATGCTCTGTGTTCCAGCTATTTTCTAATACTTAACCTCAGCCTGATGGGTGAATCTCTAAACTGAATATCTTTATTCTCATTTTCAGGTGAAAAAACTGAGCATCTAGCTACACATAGCTAGCATATGGGATTTGCAGTCTCCTAGGATGAGTCAGATGTGCAGAAATGTAACTTTAATTCTTTATACCTGAACTCAGATTTCTGAGCCCCTGTTTCTGCTGATAGCAGAAAACATGGAATATTTCCAGTGAAAAGTGGCTCAGTCACTTCTCCTTTAAAACTTGGTCTCTTCTGTACCAGGAATAAATGAGATTTGGGATTCTCTCTTCCCCTTCCTTTCTGTTGATCTGGTGAGTCCCATGGTACAGATGTTTATGTGGTTCATCTATGGCTTCCCGGAGGTGCCTCCTGGCTAGGGTTTTGGGAGCGGTCCTCCACCTTTGCATCCCTTACTGAAGTTCCCCAGCTGACTTTAACTCACTGAGTTTCTGAAGAAAGCAAGGCATGTGGTTCTGGGCTTGCCTGGCCCCACCTGGGTGCTCCCTGAGGTCGCTCCAACACATCTTCCACATGTTCTCTCTCGGAACCTTTCATCCATAACCCTGCGATGATGCTGCCTCTCCACAACGTCCCAAAGGGCATGTTGACACTCTGCTTTTCAGAGCTGCAGGAACATTTTTAAGTATCTTGGTACCCCCATTGGAGCCAAAAAAGAATGGCGGAATAGAGGATGTTTCAAGAATACAGTTCTAAGAGACACAAAGAGGCAGATGACATTTTGCAAATAAGTAGTTTCCAGAATAAGTCAGCAAAGCATGTATGAAACAGAGCAACTTCAAAAGTGCCTTGCTCAACAGCACAGTTTGTTCAAAAGGTCAGTATTATCGTCAGATACTGCAATGCCCTTTGGTTGTGTAGTTTCTGAAATTTAACCACCTACACAAAGAAAATATTAGTTAGGAAAAATAAAAAAATTACTAAGGTACTGTTACAGATATTAGGTGATCTGACACAAATATATTGTCTAGAAAAACTTTTCATCAACATGTAATTTTATTTTTTTTCCTAGATTGTTGTGCATGTGTCAGGGTTGCTCCCTACTTGCTTAGAAGGTTGTTTCGATAACTGAGATTCCTAGCCTAGAATGATCATGGGAGAAAGGGAGAAGAAAATACTTTGACACATGTAGACTGCTTTGGAAAGTGCTGGCTCTAGATGTCCAGGGGTACAATGTGTGGGATGTCAAATCTTTTACCTGTTTATTTCATGGAAGGTGTAGCATAAAGACAAACTTTATGCATCATTAGAAACCAAGTATTCTCTGTTGGTCCATTCTTTAAATTTTATGTGCTTCTTTTTCACCAAAGGGAAATGCCTTAAATGTCTGTTGTATTCTATAGCTATTTTATGTATTTAGATTCTTCTCCACTGTTTGCTTCCAGAGAAGTCTGGACCATACTGGCACTTGGTCTGAACTTTAACATGTGTTCTGCAAGTTGTAGGGAAGACCTTGTGTGCAGTGATACTGTGGTCTCTACATAGAACTTAGGATTAATCATTGAGAATCTTTGTAAGCTTTAAGTTGTATAATTTACAGGATATGATCTTGTAGTCCCTAAAATAGTAAAGAAGGTATTTGAGGACGTGTTTATTATTTGAGTGGGGGAAAAAGAGGGATATGGACTGTAGATTTGAGGGGAGAGGTTGGTGACCCACCATTGCTTCAGGACTTGTTCCTCTTAAGCTTTGGAACTGGAGCATCCCCAATAAGCATTAAGCATCCTATCCCTTCACTCAGCAGTGAGCAGTTGGTACTTCATTTTCAAAGTCACAGAGCATGAGAGAGACAAATAGCAGTGTTTGCTCTGTGCCAGGTGTCAACAGGCCTTTCTGGATCATGATGATGATGTCTTTCCTCCCTAAATAATTTTTACAAATATAGTGATGGAGACAGATTTCTGTTAACTATCTTCGATGGGTCATAAGTTGAACTAGCAATATATTTTTTTTTCCTGAAAATATGCATAGTTGTGACATGGTATTTAATAGTTAGGACTTCCCTGTAGCTCAAATGGTTAAGAACCTGCCTGTGATGTAGGAGACTGGGGTTTGATCCTTGGGTTGGAAAGTTCCTCTGGAGAAGGGACTGGCAATCCACTCCAGTATTCTTGCCTGGAGAATCCATGGACAGAGAAGCCTGGCGAGCTACAGTCCCTGGGGTCGCAAAGAGTTGGACACAACTGAGTGAGTAACACACACACCCATTTAGTAGCTTGAGGCTTATTTCTACCCAAGTGAGCACAGCTGTAAGAAATGACGACCCTCTCATCTTCACAGCAATAAAATGGCTTCCTAATGTGTTTCCCTACCTTTGAATTTTCAGTTCATTCCTCTGGATTTCCGAGCTCCATCCTTTACCCTCTCTGAAACTCCGTGAAGAATGTATGACTTTTGACCGGATGACAAAGCACAGAGGATGAAATCAGTTGCATTCAATTATGATATGACAAAAAGTCTTTCAAAATCTTTGTCACAATGTAGCATTCAAGCAACATCAAACATAATAGAGTAAAAGTAGACCGAGGAAGAGAGTTAATATTTTGACAGGAAGTTGTGTGAACTAGATCACTTGCAAATTTCAAAAGAGTCGTTGATGAATAGCTTTGGTAGTTTCTAACTTGGGGGCCTACTTTCCAATCATATCTGCCATGTCTTCTCAATGATTAATCTTTGGACCTAAAATTAACTGTTATAGTATTTTCTTGGTGTGCTTTTATATTTCTCAAAAAAACAAGTCTCCATTGCTGAGTTGCATTCAAGAAAATAACAGGGAGTGAGGTGAAGAGTAAGATACACGTTTCTTTTTTGGGAGGGGGTGGTGGGTTTCTTTATTTTTATTTATCTGTCTATTTACTTATTTGTTTGGCTGCGTAGGGTCTTAGCTGTGGCACGTGGGATCTCCATTGCGTCCTGTGAGCTCTTTCCATGTGGTGCATGAGCTCCAGAGCGCTGTGCTCAGTAGTTGGGGCAAGCGAGCTTAGTTTCTCTGTGGCATGTGGAATCTTAGCTCCTCAACTGCGTCCCCTGTACGGCAAGGCAGATTCTTAAGCACTGGACCCCCAGGGAAGCCCCTAAGACACACGTTTCTATGTTGTGTTCCCTGTGTTCCTATTCTAACTATATGTCTTTAAACAACAGCTTGTATTTTGTAAATTACTATAAAGATAATTTTTCAAGTTTAATTCTGCCATATTGGGTTGTGGGAAAATAAAAGCTTCTGATAGGGTTAATCTAGCTTCATAAAATTCCATGCTGAGTATGATCATAATCTTGGCCTTTGATTAGATCTGAGCTTGTAATATCTTGTGGTTAATCAAAATGGGTTGTATTGCATGTAGTATAAGTCATCTTCACAGATGGGATGGGGAATCATCAGAGTTCTCTTGAATATTTGTTTTAATCCCTTGTAGGATAAAATGGCTTTGGATCTTTTTTTTTAACTTTAAATCAGATTGAGTTCACCAAATAAATGACTGAGAAGAAATTTTGAAGTCCAGTTTTGCTAGGATTATGGGTCAGAAAAGAAGAAACTTGGTTTTTAATTCACAATATTTCAATGATTCATTGACCATACTTCATATATTAAAAAAATCTTGTTAAACTTAATAAATATTCCTATTTGTTTATAGTTTGAATAAAAATCTTCATAAAAGAATATTAACAAAAAAGCTTTCATAGAATAATATTGAGGTTTTTATTGTTTTCAACAGCACAAAAGATTTTTCAAGATTAATAATTGCCCCTCTTCTAATTATTTAATTCCAGTCTAATTGACATCTGATAACAAACAGCTTTACTTTGGCAACTAAACTACCTGACATCTAACCCCCAGAAGCACAGCAGGAGCGCTCACACGCAAAATGTTTACTGAATGTGTCTGTCATTTCAGCCAATTGAGTCTTGCAAGATACAATTTCTCACAAATGTTGCTCACCAAAAACTGTAAATTGAGCTGTCTGCCCCAGAGCCACACATATGAAGGGGCTCAATAAATACATGTCTAAGATTATATAAGAATCACTGAATAAAGGGCTTCCCAAGCGGCACTAGTGGTGAAGAACCCTCCTGCCAATGCAGGAGACATAGGAGACAGGCTCTGTGCACGGATTGGGAAGATCCCCAGCAGGAAGAAACGGCAAGCCACTCCAGTGTTCTAACCTGGAGAATCCCAGGGACAGAGCATCCTGGAGGGCTACCGTCCACAGGGTCGCAGTGACTGAAGTGACTTAGCATTCACCAAATAAAAGAATTGGGAGGAAAAAAAAACTGTGAAATTCTTCCAGTCTACTTCTAGACTGGATAAATAACCCACGGGTGTTAAAATCAGAATGATTTAATTTTTCTTTCTTTTTTTTCCCTATAGGAGACGTGGTGAGCCTCCATTGATAAAAGGCTGGCTTCCTTACTTTGGACAGGCCCTGAAATTACAAAAAGATCCTCTGGGTTTTATGACTTCTCTTCAAAAGCAGTATGGTGACATTTTCACTCTTCTCCTTGGAGGTAAATGGCATTTCTTTTAAGTTCCTTACTTACAATTTCTCACCTGTTCTTTAATGTTGTTATATTTTTCTCTAGGCAAAATTGGGTTATTTGTATATTACTTTACTTGTAGAGCAGTACAAAAGAAAACTGTTTTTGAGTGTAGTAATCCTAACATTAAAAAACAAATTATAGAATTCTCTTGAGAGTGCCTAGGGAGTACCACTCTCCTGTTATCACATGTTATTGGGTTTGGTTTAGCTTGCCTTTAAGAATTGTTTTTTAAAAAGCCAGAATGCATCAATGGACTTGGTTTTGTGGAGCAGTGTTAGGTTTAGAGAAAATTGATCAGACAATACAGACAGTTCCTATATAAGCCCCCTTCTCCCGGGTCATAACTCTCCCTGTTATGAACATCTTATGCTAGTGTAGCACCTTGTGGTGCCCAGTTCCTTGGGTTTGTCCTCTTCCTTTGTGGGTCCTATTCCAAAATGTATCATGTCATGTATCCGTCATTATGGTATCACAAGAGTAGTTTCACTGGCCTAAAAAAATCCCCTGCATTTCTCCTATTCACTTCTCGTCCCTTTCCCCTGAGCCCCAAGCACCCACAGATCAGGATGTACCTTTTAAAGTTATTTATTTATTTGGCTGTGCTGGGTCTTCATTGCTGCATGGGCTTTTCTCTAGTTGTGGCAGGTGGGGACTATTCTCTAGTTGCGGTACATGGGCTTCTCATTGTGGTGGGTTCGCTAGTTGAGGATCACAGGCTCTAGGACATGTGGGCTTCAGTAGTAGTGGCTTCTGGGCTCAGGAGCACAGGATCAGTAGTTGTGGTGCGCTGACTTAGTTGACATGCAGCTTGTGGGGTCTTCCTAGACCAGGGATCAAACCTGCGTCTCCTGCATTGGCAGGCAGATTCTTTACCATTGAGCCACCAGGGAAGCCCACATTTTGCGGGCAGATGGGCAGCACGCCATGTGGCATGCAGAACTTCCGTGACCAGAGATTGAACCCAGCCTCTTGCATTGGAAGCGGGGAGTTTTAACCACTGGACCACCAGGGAAGCCCAGAAAATATTTTTAACTTAAAAATATTTTTTATGATTCTAACTTCAAGAAGATGTTTACAAAGCATGAAAAAATATACACAGCAGGATCACTACATAGTCCAACATCATGGTGCTGATAGGAGAAACTGGAATGTTCTCAAATCATCTTCCTTTACGGCCCAAGCTCTCCAGCTGTGTTAGCGATCTCTGGCTGCATAACAAGCCTCCCCCAAATGTAACGCTTTGAAACAACAACTATGTGGCTTGAGCCATTTGACTGATTGGGGCTAAATGTCCCAAGATGACCTCATCACATGCCAATTATGACCTCCTTTGTCCTCATGATGCTTCATCCTCAAGATGATGTCCTTATGTGGCAGCTGATATTTCAAGAGGATTAGAGGAAAGCTGCGAGGCCTCTTGAGGCCTGGGCTCAGATGTCATAGAACCTTGCTTCCACCACTTTCTGCTAGTGTGAGCAGGTCTCAGGCCAACCCAGATTCAAGGCTAAGAAAAGAGACCTCCACTTCTGCCTGGGCAGAGTGGCAGACTTGCAAAGGAGCACATGTAGAAAGAGGGGAGAAATTTACGGTAGCCATGTTTGCACAGTCTCCCACATCAGCTTATCACCTGGGCTAGCCATTCCTGTTCTTGCTTTTGTCTGTCCCTTGTATGTCTGGGAGGCTGATCTCTACACACTAGATTGTCTACACTCCTCTGCCCTCCTACCTCTCGTTGAGTGTGCAGATAGGAGGCTCTGTTCCAGCTCCCTATCCCTGGGCTCTGATAACTTTCAGTTTCTTTCCCAAGAAAGTTGAAGACAACAGGTGTGATCTCACTCAGACCCCCACATACCTGTCAAATGCACTGGTGTTTTACAGTGATCCTTATTAACCCCTCCCCATGTTATGTCTAATGCCTCTTCTCCAATCACTCTTAGTATCTCTTCTGTCAAAGCATTTAATAAATTGTGACTGTATTGTTAATTCACATTATCTATTTCCCTTCATTATTATCAAACTCCTCTCTTGCCCACATTTAGTTCATAGCTCAGCACTGATTGATTCACAATAAATATTTGATGAGGAAATTCTCAATACCTTAGAGCTGGTGAAATACTATAACACAAATAAAGGCCATAGTTGGGGCTTCTAGCCTAAGTGAACTATTGGCTTCATATTACAAAACTATATTCTTCACTTAGAAAAAGTAATTCCTGGGGAGGGATAAATTAGGAGTTTGGGATTAACATATATACACCTCTATATATAGGGCTCCCCTGGTGGCTCAGACAGTAAAGAATCAGCCTGCAATGCAGGAGACCCAGGTTCGATCCCTGAGTCTGGATGATCCCCTGGAGAAGGAAATACAATTCACTCCAGTATTCTTGCCTGGAAAATTCCATGGACAGAGTCTGCCAGGCTATAGTCCATGGGATTGCAAAGAGTTGGACACGACTTGGCTTCATAGTACAAAACTATTTTCTTCACTTAAGCAAATCATTCTTGGGGAGGGATAAATTAGGAGCTAGGGATTTACATATACACACTATTATATATAAAATAGACAATCCACAGGGACTTCTGTATAGCACAGAGAACTCAGTCTGAAAAAGAATGGATATATGTATAACAATCTCTTAAATGCACACCTGAAGCTAACACAACATTGTAAATTAACTATACTCCAATATAAAACAAAAATTAAATTTTGAATGCCTGATTCATGTCAATGTATGGCAAAAACCACTACAATACTGTAAAGTAATTAGCCTCCAACTAATAAAAATAAATGAAAAATAAATAAAAGCAGAAAAAAAGGTCACTTTTAACTTTAAAAAGTAAACCTTATATTCTAATGAGTAGATACAACAAATTATTGACATTTTCAGTTTTCCTTTCTACTACATTCTATAAAAATAACCTCAGATGATTAAGCAGAAACTTTAAGGCAGATTGGAATCATTTTATTCACTTTTCAGAAAACAACCAATTTCTGCTGACACTTGATATCTTCATCTCAAATACCGAGACACTTGCTGAATTTCTAATATCTATTGACCATGGTTATGTTTTTAAACTCCACAATAGACAACCAGAGTTGAATACATACCACTGCTTCCCTTTGGTTTCTTCCTAGAGTTTGAATAAATTCCTGTCAAGAAATCCTTTTCATGTACTTGCTTCTAATGATCAGTTGGCAAAATAGCTCATTTGGAAAATGTGAAACTGGAAACAGTGTCTCCCACCTTTGTCCCATGATGTGATTTCACTGAGTATATGTTCTTTCGTGATGAGCGAATGATTGTCATCCCCAAAAGTCTCAAGGGACACGAATGTCATCTTAATAAAGAAATTAAAATGTACATCTTTTCATGGGAAACCACGTAAATTCGTGACCTGTCGCAGAAAATAGTTCTCTAATTGGTTTTGTGTGGTGGTGCAGCGGAATCGTTTTCCCTAGATGTCACCGCAGCGAAGCACCACTGTACATCATTGTCAACAGCTAGCGAAATCTCCCTAATAAGAGCGGGAGGATAATGTGGTCATTCTTACCAAATAAAAAGTTGGCTCATAGTCCACTCTTCCAATGAATATTTTCAGCTGGAGATTTTAAAATGGAGAGCCAAGTATATATGGAGATTAAAAGGTGATAGTTATGGAAAATTTCTATAAAATTCTAGTTTATCTCTTATTTATTGACTAGACATTTCTATTCCAAATAGTCAAATGGTTGTTCCAAATTCCCTTGGATGTCTTCCTGTACAGCACCAAATATCTGAGATGAAAACATTAAAATTCAAGTTATAATGATCCAGATGTCAAACTTCTTGTGTAGAAGACATCAGAGTGAATGACTTATTTTTTTTAACATTTAGTGACATACTTATCATTATGTTGCTTCACCTTCCTAAAAGAAGTAATTTTGCAGGAAGTGAAATGGCTCTTAGGTTAGTAATAGATCATGTGCAGGTTATTCAGGAATGATCGAGTTAATATCTTTATGTTGAGCCAGTTCCTAAACAAAGGAGGACAATGAAATGTTTGGTAAAGAATATATTAAAAAATTTGACCCCATTTGAAATTTACTGCTCAAAAGGATGATTTTATATATTTATATACACACACACATATATTATTTTGCAGAAGTGAGCTTCATTTTGACATTTGTTCTTTGAAATTCTTTAAATCAATATTTCACATCAGCTGCTGATAGCTTTCCTTTCTCTTTTGAAAACATGGCAAAAGATATTGTTTCTATCTTGTGATCTTTGTTAACTAGACGAGTTGCCTGTTGACACTCGGCATTCACTTACATAAAAGCACACCAGAACAAAAGTTAATTTTGCTCCAAGAATCCTTGGCCTTCAGAATAACTTTTCAATTTCCTTTGTTAAGAAATTTAAATTCGTTTTATGAATGTATATGTGTTTTCCTAACTGTCTGATTAAAGATTACAAAGAAACTCTGGTTTTGCATCTCACATTAGCAGATGGTGGACAGATGGTTTAAATTAATATTAATTTTGGAAAACTTAGCTTAAATTGTTTATACCGAAGATTAAAAATTGGAAAGCCAGCTAGCATCTCCAGTGTTATTAGTACTTCCAAACCCACTTGAAAAGTAAAATCCAGAAAATCAAAATGTCTTACTCAGCAGTCCACATCTTATTTGGAAAAGAGAGTCAGTAAAGCATAATGCCTTGATATTGAAGAAAATCAAAATAAGAAATGAGAAAAAATATAGATCCTGGAGTGTAAAGAGCCTTGGAAAGAGTGAGAATTTTATCTACAAATAAATTGCATTAAACTGATCAGTAATGTTTTAAAAAAGAACCTATGTGACAACTGCCTATTAAAAAATAAGCAGTTATTAAAAATCAATTAATACTTGGCTGCTAATCAGACACTGTTTTCCACATTTAGCTTTTACTGTTTTTATTTGATATTAACCTCATAATTTCTTCCCATTTCCTCACCCTCAAGGTGAGATAGAGAAAGGGAGAGAGAGGGAATACATATGTATTCATGATGAATTATAGATAAAAATCTCTAAAGTACACGAAGTACTTCAATAAGTCTGTGACTAGTGGCTTCTACTGCCATGACTGAATACAGTTTTGTCTTTCCGCTTAGATTTTGATGAATACAGACAATTGGTAACAAAAAATTCCAACTATTCTCTAAAAGTTATGTTTTACAAACAGCCTTTTATACATTTTCTGAATTTTAGTGACGAATTTAAAATAACTCTGTAAAGATATGTAGCAAAATCCTTTCATTTAGAGAAAAGTATGAATCACCACCTGTGAAAATACACAGCCTTGCCTAAAATTATATCTTTTGCAACATAAGAGAATTGACTCTTTTTTCCAATTATTTGTCAGGCAGATGCTGGTAATTTTATTTAATTAAGCTGCTATGGTAAAGTAGGTGTCATAAAATATGCCCAAATCCAGTTGAATCAGTTTTGCTCTCCTGGAGGGTTGGGAATCCAGTTTATTTTGTAGATATAACTTTGGGATCTGATCAGAATGAGTAGTCACTCGAGTTTTACCCTCATTCCTGAATTGGCCCACTTTATTAACTAAATCAAGGGAAATAGAGTGAATACAATTCAAGTCATATGATTTATTTTTAGGGAAAAAGCTGTAGCACATGTGTATTTATGTACACTAAAGCCTTAAAATTATGCCTTAAGGCTGAGAAACAAAAAAAAATTTATCCTATTTCTAGGATTAGGTTAAAATTATTCAAAACTTCGTTGTAAAACTTGTCCCCAAATTGAATTTTTGTGATGCTGTTTGAGTTACCAGAAATAATAAGTGAGTTATTTTTCTAAGAAAGGTTCACATACACACACACACATACACACACAGAAATGATGAAGTGAAGAGCTGAGCATAGATGATCTGACAAACTTTCATGTCTAATTATTTATCATTTTCTAGAAGACAGTAACATAAACATTACAGTTTGTAGGATCAACTAAATTTCATGTGTGTCCTTGAAAAGGAAGGCTTATTAAAGCTAATATTGAGTATTGAATGCATATGACTTCTCATTAGCAGGAGTCTTGAAGCAACTCTTGAGTGAGAAGGAAATAGAACAGTACCAGGAACAGCACAGTGTGTGGACTGTTTTCTTGTCTAGGCTCTGCCACTAAAAAATGGCAACGTAATCCTGGCCTTTAGCTTCTCCTGACTTTCTTTCACTGGTAAATGTCCAGGGTGATGGGGGTAGGGAGGGTGCAACCAGGAATCTCCAAGATCCCTGTGGGTTTTGAGAGCTCGACCACACTATGAGTCTGTACCTTAGAGATGGTGGTTCAGAGATGTAGTTCAGTCACTTAGTCATGTCCAGTGCTTTGCGACCCCGTGGACTGCAGCACGCCAGGCTTCCCTGTCCTTATATCTCCCCGAGTTTGCTCAGACTCATAGCCATTGAGTCGATGATGCCATCCAACCATCTTATCCTCTGTCACCCTCTTTTCCTCCTGCCCTCAATCTTTCCCAGCCTCAGGGTCTTTTCCAATGAGTCAGCTCTTTGCATCAGACGGCCAGGTTCCTTAGTGTGCCTTCTTATAAGAACCACTTTAAAGACTTGTGGGTCCCATCTCGGAGCATCTGAGTCAGCATCAAGCAGGAATCTGTATTTTCACCAGCATCTTAACTTTGGACCAGTATATGAAAATGCCAAATGTCATCTCCTCAAAGAATGCTTGTTGATCACTCCAGGCAGACAGAAGCAGATTCCACTTCCTGCTGCTCTTACATTGTGTCCCCGCCTCTGCTCTCTCACTGTCCATAATGATGCAGTGGTTCCTCTACATCTTTATCTTAAGAGGAAAGAGATTCAACCAAGTACCTGGATGTCAGTAAATGTCGAGTAAATTCATGAAAGCGTGAATGGATGGGTTCTAGTTTTGGAGTCTTCTTTTGATCACAAATCAGTATGATACTTTGACTGTGTTAGTGAATCTCCCTGACCTACTGTACTCTCATCTATAAAAATTAAAACATTGGTATTTGTGATTTGTTGTTAATGTTGAATTAGATGCTCATTTGTGAGTACTTGCTTCGCACCAAATCTTCATTTATTTGAGTTAAAATAATTGTATTCAATCAAAGCTAAGATAATATACCTTATCAATTTGAGTTGTTTGTTTTCTGATTCTATTATTGGGGAAAAATATGAGATGTTTATGTAATGAATGTTGAAACTATTTAAAAGATAAATATCTTGGTAGTTCATTAAAATAAAAATCTGAAGAATAAGATATCTTTTTGAAAGTTATTAACAATTTCATAATATTTAACTTCAAACTTCTAGGATTTTCCCACCATCTTCCATTTTAAAAGGAAACATGTGATGGAATTTTGAGTCACATAGATTTTTATTGTACCTTGCATATTTTGAGATATGAGTTATTAAGATCTTTCTAATTTTGAGTCGATATTCTCAAATTTCAGATATCTTGTTTTCTTTTGTTGTATGGCCACATGAATTCATATTCTCATTTATTTTTTTTAGGAAAGTACATAACATTTATCCTGGATCCTTTCCACTACACATCAGTTGCAAAAAATCAGAAATTAAGCTTTCAAATATTTACTGATAAATTCTTAAAGAGAGTATTTTCTATCAAAAAGATGACAACAGATTCTGACCTCATCGACGAGATTCATAGTACCTATCAATTTTTACAAGGGAAGCATTTAGACATACTGATGGAAAGCACAATGCAGAATCTAAAACAAGTTTTTGAACCCCAACTTTTAAAAACCACAAGTTGGAGCACAGAACATTTGTTGCCATTCTGCAACTCAGTAATATTTGAAATGACATTTACAACCATATATGGAAATGTTCTTGCTAATGATAATAAAACATTTATTACTGAGTTAAAAAATGACTTTTTAAAATTTGATGAAAAATTCACACGTTTAGCATCAGGCATACCCATTGAGCTTCTAGGAAACATCAAGTCTGTTCGAACTAAACTTATAAAAGATTTGACAATAGAAAGCTTAGCTAAGTTACAAGGACTGTCTGAAGTTGTTCAAAGAAGGAATGATATCCTGGAGAAATACTATATGCCCAAGGACCCTGAAATAGGAGGTAAGAAACTTCTGAATGATAACTTGTCTAAAATAAAATAATTTACAATAGACCTTTGAAATAAAAAGACAAAATGGCGACCTTGAGAATTTTTATGCTCTTTCTAATTGGCTAATGATAAAATGTTTTACTCTGAAACAACCCTTTGTGATAATTGATTTTTTTTTTTTTTGGCTGAGATGGTAATGCAAGATACTTAATGGTGATAATGAGAAAGAGTATAACTAAGCTGCATTTACTCCCCTTATCTCTTCTCCCTCCTCCCCTCCCCCACCACACACACATTACATTTTAAACTATTCTCATTAAACAGAAAATTAGACTTCAGAAGCCTATTGGTCCTCATTAGCATGCACTGATCCTTGGCTGGGTCTGTGTCCTAACATCTTTTAATTAGCACACTGCAAATCTAATCAGTGTAATAAACGCTATTAATCTTCCTTTTCACTTATTTTCTCCCAGCACATCATTTAGGCTTGCTCTGGGCCTCTGTGACAAACACTGTTCCAACCATGTTCTGGGCAATGTATTACCTTCTACGGCACCCGAAAGCTATGGCTGTGCTGCGTGACGAAATTGACCATTTGCTGCAGTCAACAGGTCAAAAGAAAGGGCCCGGATTTTCCATCTACCTCACCAGAGAACAATTGGACAGCCTGGTCTACCTTGGTAATTTATTTTTATCTGTTATGAAGAAAAGAGGGTACCTCTCTGCAAACTCAGTTTATCACTCAAAGCTGTTTACCAAGAGGTGGAGGACACAGCTGCCTAATTGACATAATAACACCCATTTACATCAATTATAAATTATGTAGTTTATAGCCGTAGATGCTCTCATTGCATGTAAACATTAAGGCCTAGGTAATTAACTATGTAAGGTATGCAAAAGGCTAAACCAAAGCTTTGCAATTATTTGAAAAAAAAAAAAAGTTTATGCCTATTAAGTCATTTGATTCTGAGCATCTGTTGGTGTGCTAATGCTTTCCAAACACTGCAGTAGTGTCTTAATAAGAAAGGTATTTGGGATTGAAAAAGAAAGTATTTCAAACAGACAGCTTCTGTGTAAAACATACTTACTCTTCCCTAAAATGGTGTCTTTTTTAGGCAGAGATTAGGATGTCATATACAGCTTATAGTGTATAATTCTCCAAAACTTAGTAAGAGTGATTTTCCCTGGGAATTCATGATTTAAATGTACTTGGGGAAAAAAAAAATGAAGGAAGAAAAGGAGGGAGTGAAGGAGGGAAAAGAGCAGGCTACAACTACAGACTACTTCATGTGAAATGTCCATGTTTATAAGAGTCACTGATTCATGAGATATGTGTGGTCACCCTTTCAGATATGTTTGAGGTCAGAAGTGACTAAGTTGCTTTTAAACATCTTTGTAGGTCTGTGTGCCAGTAACAATGAGCATTTGATGACAATGGATTCTCTTTTCCCAGTTTTGATAAGATGACTGTCATTATGTAAATAAATTTTAATTCCCAAAGTTAAATTCCACATCAGCGAATTATTTGCTGGGTTTTTTTTTGGTTTTTTTTTCTGTATTGACCTTTCATCCTGTAGCTTTCTTTACACTCTATTCCCGGTCCCTTTGGACAAAGATGTTTGTTGTTTCACTCCTTTGACAATGTAACAAGTATTTTAGCCCACATTAGTCTACATTTTTTTCATATTTTTAAAATATGTTCCAGGTTCTTTGATGGGGACTTCTGAGAGTAGAGGCCCTACAGGTCTTGATCAGTGTTGACCACCAGTTGACATTAAAAAGACTGGTCCAAGTGTTTGAGAGATTGTTCCCCCTGGTTAGGATAAGACCCATCAGAGGCAATAGCAGGAAGCTTGCCTTGTAGTGACAGTTGGCTAGCTTATTCAGTCATGCTGTTTTTAGCATATATTATCAAAGTAATTTTATATTTGCTTGGAGGAGGATAATAGCCCCAGCATTATTAAAATATGAACATTTTTTTCTTTTTCTTTTTCAGAATTACTGGGGACCAAATGCACAAATGGGGCTTCCCTGGTAGCTTAGATGGTTAAGAATTTGCCTGCAGTGCAGGAGACCCAGGTTTGATCCCTGGGTCAGGAACGCCACCTGGAGAAGGGAATGACTACCCACTCCAGTATTTTTGCCTGGAGAATCCCATGGACAGAGGAGCCTGGTGGCTATAGTCCATGGGGTCACAAAGAATCAGACCTGACTGAGCAGCTAACACCCTTTCTTCAAATGCACAAAATTTGCATCAAGTTCTGTGTAGTTGCTTTCACATGGATCTACAGTATTTTCTGGGTAGAAGATTTATGGTTCCTATGAAGATCAAGGTTGCATTTCCCATAAATTCAAGTAATTTATATTGCATTTTATGAATCAGATGATATATACTGGGAAATAAAGCAAATAAACTTTAAGGAATATATGTTTGTATCCAGTACAATTTAGTTGAAATTCATCAACTCTCTTTTTACTCTCAACTTCTCACTATTCAAAGAAAAGATTATTTTAAAATTGTGCTATTAGAGTTGACAGGGCTTTCCAGGTGACTCAGTGGTAAAGAATCCACCTTCCAATGCAGGAAATGTGGCTTTGATACCTGGGTTGGGAAGATCCCCCGGAGGAGGAAATGGCAACCCACTCCAATATTTCTTGCCTGGAAAACAGCATGGACAGAGGAGCATGGTAGTCTATAGTCTATGGGATCCCAAAGAGTTGGAAATGACTTAGCGACTGAACAACAAAAACGTTAGAGCAGGCAAGTTTAAATTTATTCGAGCAGAAGAAACGGCAAGTTCCAGAGCCATGACTGGGGCCATTAAAGTCCATCACTAGAGTAGAGACCTCAGCATTCACTTATCATCAATGAATGGACCACCACCAACCCCAAATGCCTGGAGATCCACCTGAGTGCAGGCAGCACCTTCAGTGATCTAGAAGGTAAACTTTGTTCATGACAGTCTCAGGTAACAGCAGAGGCCAGTGTTGTTCATTACTAGAAGTGAATCTTCTAGAAAATCGGGTCCTTTTTTTTTTTTCTTTTTCTAGATGACAGTTTAATGCAGATTGAAGCAATTTCTTTAATATGAATAGTCCCAGAACAGATGACCTCTGCATCTAGTCATAACTGTCTCATGGGTATCTCTATCAGAAGGGTATGAACTATAAGCTGAGAGGCAAGATTTACAGAATTAAATATTTACAGTGCACTTCATGGACTGAGTGTATGTGCATCTCATCTCCTTAAGAAAAGAGTTTTACGTATCCTGAGTATAATTTCTTTAAAGAAAGATATCTTGAATTTTTATTATTGTAAGAAAAAGTATCGCAAGGATGAAAGGAATGCTAATTTATTTTTAAACAAGGAAGGGGAATTTTTATATTAGTAGAACATACAAAGGGAAGGGAGTTTTTAAAAAATACTTTTATTTATTTAGTTATTTGCTGCACAGGGTCTTAGTTGTGTCATGCGAGATCTTTCCTTGTGACACTCATGTACAGTAGTTGTGGTGCATGGCTTACTTGCCTGTGGTATCTTAGTTCCCCAACCAGGGATCAAACCCATGTCCTCTACATTGCCAGAGAGATTCTTGATCCCTGGACTACCAGGGAAGTCCCAAAAGGAGTTTTTTTTTATTTGTCCAAACAAAGAGGCAAGAGGAGTTCTTTGTGTCTTGATTCATCAAAGCCAGCTGTGATGTGCTCATAAAAGAGACCAGAAAATGTGAGCTAGAAGGTGATAGAGTTAACTGTATTCTTAATTTCAGGATGAGACAGTATGAATGACAATATTAATAATTATTATTTTATTATGTAGCAGACTTATTAGCTTACTTCATCATCATCAAGTACTAACTTACTTATATACATGTAAGTAAATTCAAGTATAACTTATCTAGTCCTCAAGTATATTATCTTCAATAATTGTTGGGTAACAAGGTACAGAAAGATTAGTTAACCAATCTAAATCATACAACTAGATAGTGGCAGAGCCTGAAATTGATGTCAGGTCTACCTAATTTCAATGCCAATCCATAAACATTGCCAACTCAGGGAAAAATGCTCTAGAAATGTACCAGAGAGCTTGACCATTATATTTCACAAGTATATATATCATGAATTCTCAAATGCAGTTGGGTTTGAGGATAAGGTTGGGGTTAGAGGTTCACATTATAATTTTGTGGTTTTTTCCCTAATAAAAATAATTTTTTTAAATTTTAGAATAGTTTTAGATTTGTGGAATAGTTACAAAGACAATACCCATATACCTCACACACACAGTTTGCCTCACTGTTAACATCTTAGTGTGATGTATTATATTTGTCATAATAGTGGGTGTTATTTTGAAAAAACTCATTCATTATTTTTAAAAATTGTGTATTTTAAAAATTAAGAGTGTCTATAATTTAAACAGCAATAGTGAAGTTTAACAAAATCTTCTCTTCCAGTGGAGCTATACGGGAGGTACAAATTCTACTTCATGTTAGAAATTTCCAACTGGAGGAGGGGAGAGGGGCATCTCCCACAAGGTGTACACCAGAAATAAGTGGTGGAATTTTTGTCAGTAACATAAGGAGACAGTGGTTAAAAAGTGAAAAATACTGGTTTAGATGTTTATTAAGTTTTCAACTCGGCACAAAGCAAAGAGAGCTAGATAATATAATGAATGCTGGAAACAGGTGTTGAAAGGATTGAAAGGGAAATTTAAAGTGAATGCAGATTATTGTAGATAGGTCCAAACATCAACTGCATAAGAATAGGATAAGGAAAGAGACGAGTGGCCCAGCAGGCAGGGTTAGGCTCAGAGACATAGTTCTGGGGAACTTTCCTGGTGGTCTAGTGGTTAACACTCCGTGCTTTGAAGGCAGGGGGTATGGGTTTGATCCCTGCTTGGGGAACTAAGATCCCATGTGCTGCTGCTTTTGGAATCATCTGCGGAGCTTAAAAAAGTACTCAAACCTGGCCCCACCCTCAAAGGTTCTGATTTCAATGATCTGAAGTACAGGCTGATGGCTTTACAAGCTCCCAAGGGGACTACAATGTGCAACCAAGGTTCAAAACCATGAGTGTAAAGGTTTTCCTTAATGCAGTGGTTCTGACGCTATTGGCCTGAGATGGAGTATTTATTTTTTTAAAACCACCTCAGGTGATTGTAAGCGAGCCATCAGAGCCAATACTTCTGGGACATCAGAAAACTTAACACAAGTCCATGGTGATATTACTTCATAAATCTGTTGTTTGTCTGCATCCAACAAAATATTAATAGAAGTGTGGTATCTAGGGCAGACAAAGTAGTTCCTGTCTACTTTCCCAACTGAAATAGCACACCCAGCTCTGCCACATTTTAAGAGGCACATTGACTAATTGAGTTAAAGGCCGTTATCATCTCTGACGTGCAATTAAAAAATGACATGATCATTGTCTTTAAATATTTTTAAAGGGCTGTTATATAGAAGAGAGATTCAAAATTTTTTGCCTTTGTGTTTTCTAAAGGGAGGAAAATTTCAGCCAATACAGAAAATAACTTGCTAACTAAATGGACTTTCGGAATTCCATCATTGGAGTTATCCAATTAGAAATTTAACAGTCTCTTCAGTAGGACCCTGGGGAGCATCCATAATCTCTGTTCTGTTTTCCACCAATAGCAGTGGCCCAGTGTCCTGAGCAGAGAAGGACCTTGATAGTCTATTTATTGACTCTATGAATGTTGAATTTACATTTCTGTGTTTTAGCAGTGAACCAAAAACTGTGTCTGCAGTGCAGAGTGAAAGTAGGCATGTGTACTGATTCAGATTTATTTTTAACTCTACTTAAAATATACAATTGTTGAGCCAAAAAGTAGTTATTTGGCTTCAGATTATCTGATGATGATAGTGTCTTATTTATTGAATAGCTTCTCACCTGTCTTGAAGACAGTTGCATAAAAACTGGCACACACATCTGTAGCCTCACTCCATTTCTCACTCTTCGAGAGCACTATCTGCAGAGCCCCCAGCCCCTTTCCTGTCCACCTTCTTTTTAAAGACCATCCCAGCCCATTTCAGCAGAGGCTGGCTGTTATTTCACTCCAGCCATCATTGCTATCCACCGATCACCATGGCTAATCAGATGGTGTGACAGTCTGCACCAATCATTAAGATGACCCAAATTAACAGCCTGGCCATGTCACAGTACATCCATTCCACACATCCAGACATGGCCTAAGTGTGAGGCAGAAACTTGGATGTGCTTGTTTATGTTTGCATTGTAACATGCATTATTGATTGTCATAAGCGGCCTCAGCGCTTTAAATCTGCAAATGAGAATCATCTGTCAATTATTACAGCCAGAATTGAGATCTGGGGCAGAAGAGAAAGTGTATATATCCTTTTCTACCTGCGTTTCCTTTTATTTACCATTTTCTTTCCCAGTCACATTGTGATGCTTCTTAGCTCAATATACTCCTCAGCTATTTGCTTAGAAAAGATACTTAATCAGAATATTTTTATATCCTGCAAAGAGAAACAAATCTCTCCTAGTCAAGGGAAGGAGACAGGGCAGGCTCAGAATTGTAAGTTCACTGTGGGAATTCTGCAGTCTAATTTCCTTGGGATACTGGTCAGTAAAATTCAGTTCTTCATAAAACATCAGCAGCCTTATTGTATTCACAATTGCAATTGTTGGCACCTTGCAGTGGCTGGTATAAATGATCCTCCAAATATTTGCCTTCTTGATAGCCATTTCTCTACAGTGCATTTAGTAAGTAGAGGGTCCTATTACCTGCTAAATGTAAGTATAAATTAACAACCCATTATGCACAATAAGTTTTATAAAACATTTACAGATAGAGATCACATTTAATTAAAATTAACTTGCTTATGAAAGCCAAGTGCACTAATGATCACAATGACCTTTTATTACCTGCAGTCCCTTGTTTTGGCTGGAATGATTGACAGCTTGCTGTTTGGCTACCATGTTGAATTTCAGCTGACAAGACTTTTCATTTTAACTCAATTTGCCCGCCTATCACAAGCTGGTGGCAGGCCAGACCCAAGTCACCCAGCTTTGCCTCAGCAGCTTGCTCTAGTTCTCATTAGTACGCATTTATTCAGTGGAAATTGGAAGACAAATGCTTGAAGGCATGTGAACTAAGTATAGCAAATTAGGTTTAAAGACTGAATATTTATAAGTGTATGGAAAGTTTTTTTTTTTTTTAATTCTAGAGCGAATTGAGAACTGAGTGCTAGCTTTGGTATAAAAGAAATGAAGATAGAAGGGGGAAGGAAGATTCTAAGAATAACAATACTATCAGGTTTTTCTTTCCATTTTGGCAATATGTAAACTCTCTCTGACAACACCTTCTCAAACCAACCTGGCCCCTCTTTTCATGGAGTGCTTGCACAATGAAGTTTAGCACCTCGAGTGTGAGAAGGGGGAAAAAATGAGGGTCATGTTCATCTGTTGCTTGGTTATCCCTTGGTATGTTTTCAATTGCCTTGTTTGTTCGGCACTAGCACAGAAACAGATGTTGCTCTGGCGTGTAGGATAATTTACTCTACCTCCTGGTGCGGCATGGACAGCCTCCCAAGGCCCAGCTGGTCTGTCAGTGGTGCTGGCTGGTGTCTGCTCAACTATGACAACTACAAGTCGAGGCTGCAATTTTTTTTTTTTTTAATTGTGCAGTTGTCATTCTTTTCAACATATAGCCCTGCCCGTGTTCTTCCTGGGGCCGGTAGTGAGACTATGGCTTTTGTGTCTGTATGCCTTGTGACGCAGAGCCATGGAAGGCCCCCTGTCCTCTGAGGATAATAATGTTCATGACTTGTGTCCTCGGATGATGATCGCATGAACGCTCAGACCCAGAGCCAGCCTCATCTCATGCACATAACTGGTACTGGAAGGTAAAACAGATTTGTCATTTGCTATCCCACCGCTAAGCCACACTTTGGGCTCCATTATTGTGATTAACTTCCGCCTAAGATACGCTTGCCCGATTGTCATTTGTGATCCTGTGGTGGCCGCAAGCTGCCACGCTTCCCCCAGAGCAACGTCAGCCAATGGGATTGGACCGTGTTATTCGGGCCGTTCGGTGCCTGCCCCGTCACAGTGGCCAGCCCACAATTACTGTGCTTTTGTATTTCTCCCTCCCGCAACCCTACTGGACCGGGTGGGTGCCCAGCTCTGCTGCATATGTCAGCTACCATTTCACACCACAAGCTAACATGATGCTGCGCTGCTGTTGATTCAGCAAGAGCCAGCAGCCGCGCATGGGAAGCTGACCCCCGCTCTGCACCATGGAAATGCTGGTCGCTGGTGTCCTGCCCGCTGAAATCCATGGTGTCAGGTGCCTTGTGGCTATCCGCAGTAGAGTCCCCGTTCCAAAACCAAAGTTCTTTTCTGGCCTCATCACCAACAAACCGATTTGACTCTGCCTGATTATAATAACGAAGGCAGTCTAAAAGAATATGCACGGTCTCACTGTGCGTCACATCGAATCACCGCACTGGCCACACAGAGCTGACCGCAGCCTCATTTCTTTAGACAAATGCATGCTTAGGGAAAAACCTCCTGGGAGAAGGTCCCGAAAGCTGTTAGATATCCCCATGCAAGCTGTGCATAGATTTCAATTTTCGGGAAATAGCATTTATTTTTATTTGTTTGGCTGATGCAAGCCCTCCCTGAGTGGCCCGCTTCTATCATCTAATAATTAGTCATTCTACATTTCAGAGCTTTACTGAACACTAAGAAACTGGACTCTGTGTGTGTGTGTGTGTGTGTGTGTGTGTGTGTGTGTTTGTGTATGAGATTCTCAACTGCAAGCCATAAACACAACCATTTGTTACCATGTGGAGGAGGGAGAAAATGCTCAATTTGGAGCTATTCTTTCACATTGCTGATTAGAAAGAATCAAGCTTTTTATTCTAGGACCCATTCGCGCTGGTGAAAACATAGTCAGTTTTGATTATGAAGGCAGAGATGCAGACCTAGACAGCAGCTACATGCTGATGTGCATGCTATCAGAATGATTTATGCAAATTATGCATATTATTCCCAAAGGAATTCCTCCTCAAACTGCCAGGATAAATTGCCGGAAATTAGCCATAAAATCTGTCGTGCTAGGAGCAAAAGGTGAAGGCCACTGGGAAAGCAAGGACATTCAGCTTCTGGAATCTTCCAGGTTATGATGGTGGCTGTTATTTTCCCTGGATGCCATGGAGAAATCTGATTTTCTTCTGAATACTCTTAAAAGTATTTTCCCTTTGAAATTTTTCCAGCAAATGCTGACTCACATTTTATTTACAGCTAGCATAAAAGAAATTAAGTGTTAAGCTGTCTCAGAAAGCACTACTACAATTATTTTACTATTAACTGCCTAAGTGGATATTAAATGCCTAAGCCTGGCTTTGAAGGCATCGCTGTTCAGAAGGTTGGTGAAATAACTCACCAGGGGTGTACTTGAACTGGGATACGGTTTTAATTTCCAAAGTGTGTACCCCAACACAGCTTTCCTGTCTTGCAGATCAATCTTTCCTACAAAAAATCCTAATTAGTGACTTTCTGTCCCAATGCAACACAGTTGTCTATTGCCTGTGAAATGCCCCACACTGTCTCACCCCTCCCCTCCTCTCCCATCCAGAGCCCGCATCAGCTCCCTCTTGCTGCTGATTGGAAAAGGATTTCCCTGTCAATTGAAGTTATTGGTAATGAGCTTTGATGGTTAAATGAGAGAACTTCTCAGGAGCAGTTGTATTTTAATAAAAATGATGCTTGCTTGTTTCTTTCAGAAAGTACCATTCTCGAGGTTTTGCGACTCTGCTCCTTTTCTGGCATCTTTCGTTTCGTTCAAGAGGACTTGACACTTCATTTAGAGAGCCAGGACTGCTGTCTGCGAAAGGGAGACTTTGTCGTCATCTTTCCTCCCGTCTTACACCACGACCCCGAAATCTTTGAAGCTCCAGATGTAAGTAAACATCCAGCCAGCATCGCTCCCTCTTAGATGCTTCAAGCACATTCCTTCCCTCGTGGTCTCTCTTTTGCCACCTTTTTCCAGAAAGAATTTGAGAGAGTTTAATGACTCCAGTTTTTCTTTGCAATGGAAACATTATCCTCTTTACTGAGAGGTTTCCTTAAGGACCTTTCTTTCAAAGGTTTTGTGATCTATAAATAAAAATACAGAGATGAGACTAAACTCTAGTTTCATCAAGTAAAATGAACACTGATGGACACTATTCACTTTAGGCCAAAATTAAGTCTTGCCTGGCAGAGGTGTGTTACAAAACCATGGAGGGCTAGCTGTTGACAGGTCACTTAGAGAATAAACAATGGTAGACTGTTCCTCTAAGTGTTTCCAGTGTGGGCTTGACTGTCCCAGAGTCCGATACCGTCCCTGCTATAGTTAAGCTCCCTACTTTTTCACCTCTTACTAAAGGCATGTGCCCCTTCTTGATCAATTAGGATGGCACTGTGAACTTGAGATTGTAAAGCTGCTGCTCACGGGTGAAGCTCTGAGGGTAATTGTGTCATCTCCTTGTATTTTTTTCTGAAGCTGGAGTTAATGAATATCAAAGACTGGAAATTAATCCACCCTGGCTCATCCCTTAATACCACTTCAGAGGTTCACCACCTGCATGCAAATTGCAAGCAGTCATCTTCTGCCTGTGCTTCTCAGGGAGTCAGGTTGTTGCTGCAGTGGTTTTTATATGTGAAGTGCCATGTTTCAAAGAGAAACTTCCGTGCACTTTCTGAGCAGTTTAGAGCCGAACTACTTCTAAACCTAGTTTCTAAGGTGTTTGACAGCTAGGCTGGTTTAAAATCTGGTTGAATTTTGGAAATTAATTAGAAAGGGACAGAATTCAAATGCATCAAGATAGTTTGCATTTATTTCATCAGCAAAGACAAAATATCCTAAGTGAGGGGAGAATATACGTATAGTTTCTGTGTGTTTCAGAAGAGGTCTTATTTAACTAATGATGGCAAATCAGAAGTTGGGTATTAGTGAGTGAATGAACACTGCAGACAACAAGCTTCATCTCCACGTTTGTAAATATATAAAAAAAAAAATTCCACACATAGTTAGGTGTTCAATAAATAAAGCAAGTAAATAGCAAATCTTTGAAAAATACTTCAAAATTTGAAATTAGTTTCATTTCTATCTACAATTTTTAATTTAATTTCCACTTTGTATTTTTATTTTGTGATTATTCCACTGTCATTAAATTTATCATTCATGTCATGATAGTAAAATCTACATTCAAGTCATCAACAAATAATAAATGTTTCCCCAACCACAACTGTCATTAAGAATCTCTGGGCTCCTCCTCCTCTGTGTCCCTAACCTTACCCCCATGAGTTAGACTCATAGGTTAGACTTTTAGGAAGTTAAACATCTTATGGAAAAACCTGAACAAAATTTTTAGTCAACCCAGTATCAAAGGTAAACATTGGAAGTGTGCTCAATTACATTTTTTCTGTGCAATGCTAAATCGCAATCTCCAAACTATACATAATAAATAGTAGACAGAAGGGTTTGCCTCATACTCATTTGGTGGGAAGAACAAAATTGCAGTCCTGTGAACCCTGAGTTAACATCATTAGGACAGCTCTAACTTGACTTGATGAGCATTCTATACTATTTACCAGACTTAACATTAGTCAGTTATGCCTGACTAATGTTAAAATCAACTAGCTAATTTTTGTTGTGATATTGTGCTCTTGAAATTAGTTGTGGAATGGTGAAATGTGATAGCTACTGGCACAGAAAAAAAAAATCGTATGGGGCAGAACCAGTTTTATATATTTGGCAAAGTCTTACATAATCATTCATTCTATAAACATTTATTGAGTACTCACTCCTCTCAAGCTCGTGGGTTGATTTCTATTGTGCTTAATAACTTAGGATAGCAATAAGCAGATGCTATTAATGCTCATAGAACAGATGCCCATCCCCAAACCATCATGTGCTAAGAGAGAAGAAAATTCTGGAAAGTTCTGTCCTTGGTATTTGTCACTGACAGCATTGTCCCAGGAGCTTATCTGAGGCTCTTATTCCTCACTGCCTGACTTTGGTACCCTACAGATATAGGAAGACCTGGCCTTCCTTAGATACAGAAAACAACCACTAACTGTTAGGCCAAAATCATGGAGAAGACGAACTCCAGATGTAAGTACAGTTATTCTTGGAGAAGGTGGAGACTGAGAATCCTCAGCAGAAGATGGGTTCCTCCTAAGATGGCTTCCTCCTAACCAGTGAGGCGTGGTTTCAGGATGCTCAAGCCCAAGAGACCCTGGAATATTACATTCTAAAAGTAGGCCATGTCTTTCCTCACACATCTCTCTATTGTTGAATGTCCCTCTTGACTTGTCTACCGAGAGACTCCAGTTGACTTCACAAGACTCTCTCTTAATCACCATCTTTGACAGTGCCCCTGATTTCCACATCATTCCTCAGAGAATCTGCCACCGCTCGCTTGTGGCCTGTGTAGCCTGTGTTAGGGGGCACACCCCACGGGATCTTGCAGTGACTTGTTCGCTCACGTGCCTGTATCCTGTAAGTCCCCGGAGGGGAGAGACCCTGTCCTCAACCTTCTGTGATTTCTCAGTGCCTGGCATGCAGGAGGGTACCCGAGAAGGAAGTAAATAGGAAGTGCTGAGATGGGTGAGTGTTCTGAAAGTGAAATTACATTTCAGTTAAAATGTTAAATCACTGCAGAGACCGCACACTCAAATGTGTCCTGGAGCTAATTAGATCCAATAGATGAGGTGGCTTGTGTGTAAATATTGCAGTACCATTGGGAGTGGTAAAAACTCTGGTGAAAGGACCGCCCAGGAGGCCTGTGAGATCATTTGGCTGCTTCTGAACCAACCCTCAGTTCTTACAAGCACATAGACCTGATTTAACCAAGTCATTTTTATTATTAGTTTTTTAAACTTCAAAAACAGACTTCTGGGTGAAAGTTAGAATTTTTAAATGTTTGAAAAAATTACGGTCTAAAACACAACGTGGACTAAACAAAAAATGTTTGGAGACCTAATTGGGCCTGTAAGCTACCAGCATGTAATCTGTATTGAGAATTATTTTTTCCTAAATGTGGGTTTCTTAGCTTATTGTGATGTTAACCTGTCAGGTGGCACTTGCTAATGTGGAAAAACAGATTGGAAAGTGAAATTTAAAACAGTGGGAGAGAACAAAGGAAACCCTTCTCCCCAGTTCTTTCTTCTTCCTTCTTTATCCATCTAAATGCCATCCAAGAAAGTCTGGATGATCTCTTAATTAACTCGGAATGGGTACCTTTTTAAATGGGTGTCTTTAAAATTTTCTGAAGGCTTCCTCAAATTTATGTCAATTGTCAGCCAGAATTCTAGCCACTAGCTTTCAAGTAATTAGTAAATGGTGATGATTACTTTTCTGGCAAAATGAAGCATCCAGAAGTAAAGCCATGGAGAAGACCAAATGTATTGGTTGGTTTCTCTGTGGAGGTGCTAAGGTATAAAGGGAAGCTGGCCCATAGGGAAGAAATAGCCAACATTTTAGATGGTGATATATCTCTATAACCAAATAGCCTCTAAAGAAGGACACAGTAAAACAAAGTAATTACAAAGGCATTGGAGTACCCCCTACCAACCCCAAAGCTCTGAGTTAATGTCATGCAAGCCTTCCCAGTCTACTCCTCAGAGGTATAGGGAATAAAAAATGATAAATGAATTTGAAAGCCCTTGAAAAAATTCTGAATTACCGTAAAAATTGTTTCATCAACATCTTTGGATTATTGTCACTGTTATTAAAATACACAGATCATGACAAATGTGGAAACAAGTCTCAATGATTTTGTGTCTCTCAAACTGGAATAGGGATTGTGCCATTAGTACATTTCAAGGAAACAAACCTGTATTGAGCATCTACTATCCAGAAAGCACGTTGATGGGCATAATGGGTGGTATAGATATAACAAAGGCCCCTGTCCTTAAGAGCTTATCATTTAGGGATTTGTTCTTATGATGCAGCTGTGTTCTCATAACCACGTGCTCTGTGTTGAGAGGATTTCTCCTCCGCTAGGGAACTGACACTTGCATTCCTACCATGTTGGAATCAGCAATGTGCTGGTAAACCAGCACTCTGCAAAACCCTGATTTTGTCAATTGTCATGGTGTAAATGCTCTCATCTTCACTGATTTCCTGCTACCAACGTGAAGACCCTGAACACAGTGTGGGGGAGAGATGTGTACGTACTCTCTTGCTGGTACAAACTGGCCACAGCATACCACTGATTGGAATCCAAGTCACAGAGACAAAAAAAGAAATCTCTGTACTTAGTCATCTTGCTTCCAGGAGGTCTGGCTATAAACCAGGGCAAGTTTGCAGCCTCTTAGTCATACATTCAAAATAGTGACAGTTTTTATTTCTAGGAAGTCATATCTTTTATCTAATCCAGATTCCTAAACCCAAAATGATGAATTGAGTGAATACAAGAGCTGATCATATGGATATGAACACCTATAACTACTCCAACAAGACTGTGTTTTATGCCTTTTACTTTTAAAAAATATTTTCTTGGCCACATCACACAACATGCAGGGTCTTAGTTCTCCAACCAGGGATCAAACCCACACCCCTGCATTAGAGGCATGGAGTCTTAACCACTATTGACCACCAGGGAAGTCTCTATGCCTTTTTAAACTTTAGTGCTTCCTTCACATGCTGGAAATGCTTAAAAAAAAAAAAAAAAAAGCTGTTGACTTGAACTAAACATAAAATTTGGAGAACTCAGATTAGGGTGTTATGCAATGTTCCTCATTCACTCAGACCCAAAATTCTTCTCTATCCAGGAAATTGTATCGTCTACCCAATCTTTATTTCTAGCGCTAAATATTATACCACTTTCTATTTGTAAACATTTTCTATTTGAATATTCATCTACTCTTCATTCTCCCCATCTTTATTTACTCATTCAATATCTGTTTTCTTCAAAAGCTTGAAGATTGCTTTTAAAATATACTTTATTGTCATGTATTTATTCATTAATTCAACAAACATATATGGAACCTCACTATGTGCATAGCACTCTGGTGGGGACTTTGAAAATATGGAGATAAATAAGACAGTGTGACGAGTCTCATCTCTTGGGAGTTCTTGGCTCTGTCATCTCCTGTGGGTTAGTTTCGTCTTCAGCCTGGTGACAGAATAGCTGCAGCCTTGCAGGGATCTTATTCTCATATAACCAGATCCATAGCAGGAAGAGTGGTGAACCGTTCCATTGTGTTTTTCCTTCTTTTTGAGAAGGGACGTTCTCCCAGATGGCGCCATAGACTCTTCACTTGTAGCCCTGAGAGACTGGTCCTGAATCAGTCAGAGGCCAGAGCAATTCGATCACCATGATGGGTGCCTCAATAGGTCTCATACGGAAGAATGATGATAGGGAGCAAGCAGTGGAGGAGTAGACAATCAGCAGAAGAGCCGTGGGGAATCTCGGTGCCTAACGCTCGTCTCTTAGGATTTCTCTCTTCTCATCCATTGAATAATACTGCATTAAATGGTCCCTTAATTGTGTAGCACTGAACTGTGATGGTAGTGTACTGCCACGTGATGGATCCCGTTTTCATTGTGTTCCTGATCAAAGATCAAGGCATCTCAAGCTTCCTGACTTTTTGTTCTATGTCACTGTGACCTCAGAATCTCTGAAGTGAGACTATTACACCCCTTCTTTAAAAAAAAAAAAGACTATATTTCTAGCAGCTGTCGCAAACCCTTTCTAATAACATGGAACCTGCTCAGATTCTCCATGCCCTGGCAATGGGAAACAGACTGAAAACAAATTTTAACACAAAAAGCTATTTATGGGGACTTTCCCAGCAGGCCAGTGGATAAGACTTCACCTTCCAATGCAAGGGGTGCAGGTTTGATCCCTGGTTATAGAGCTAAGATCCCACATGCCTCATGGCCAAAAAACCAAAACATAAAACAGAAGCAGTATTGTAACAAATTCAATAAAGGTTTTGAAAATGGTCCACATCAAAAAAAAAAAAAAAAAAGGCTATGTATGCCCATATTCTCTTTGAGCTTGATGGTACCCACAGAAGGAAAGAAATTGGCCTTTTCCTTTCTTGGTCCATAATATAAACAACTAAATAGGAATTTCTGTGATATTTATTATGAGGAAATTGACTGGGAGGTGATGGAAAACTGGACAAGTGATATTACTGGTTGACTAGAAGTCTGAGGGAGTTGCATGTGTACTCACTGAAGGTGGCAGGGGAGGGGGAGGATTTAGGCATTTTTTTGTTGGTCACTGTGGCCTCTCAGCTGTATATCCATGTATACAGAGGAAAATTGAAATGCCATAACAATGTCTGGCTTATTTATGATATCAGCATACTATGAAGTCATAGCTCAAGCTAAATTTTCCTTCTGTATATTCTGACTTAAACTATGAGACTGACTGCAGTGAGAGCTTTTCGAATGTAAAAGTGACATCCACTGGTTTGGCATTGGCAAAGAATTCTTGAGAAGAGCATGATCTTAGATTGGTCAGTGAAAAGGAGGAAGCAGCAGTTTTGAACTCAGGCAGGCAGGCCTGGACTCCAATAACGAAAAAAGATTTACTGAGATACAGCGCCAAGTTGTAATTCCATCTCTAGTAACAAAGTCGATGTTCACAGAGAATGTCCTTATCCATGCTACAAGGATGGACAGATATTTGTAGGTTAGCATTGGTAGATCCTATTCAGATACATCCCAGAACTATCTATGGCAAAATATGCCTGCATTCTGATGCAGATTAATTTTCCCATTATGATCTCATCAGCTTGCAAGTTTAGGGGGCAGGAGTGGAATAAAAACTACCCACAATGTGTTTTAAAAGCTTAACTAGTTATCAAGATCAGTATCCTAGGTAAATGACGGTAAAACCAATATTTTTTAAGGAAATGGTTTCACCGACATGAATATTAGCATTGAGCAAGAAAATTAGGTCATTTGATAGATTCAGAATCTGTGTACTGTGGGGTTTTTGCTATAATCTGAATGCCTTCGGTCTGACCTGCTTCTTTGCCTCTGGCTTCATAGTTCATGGCAAAGTTGTGTACTGAGCAGGTCTAATGCTAATGAGCACAGCATACAGGACAGACTTCATCATTGTCATGCATGCCACGTGCGTTAATCTAATCAATGGTGTAATTTACCATGGGCTGAAATAAGGTCACTTAGTGTCCTCAGAAACTCAACAGAGAGTAAATTAAGATGGCGGACCAAACACCTTCCATAAACCAGTCTCATAATTTTCTGTAACAAATAATATAACTTACTTATGAAAACATATCAGAAACCAAGAGAGTTAACCCAAGGAACACTCATTCTAAAGAGAACTATCATAGAAGAAAGTCAATAAAACATCGAAAAGCAATCCAGACAGACTTTGTATCTTAGTGCTCTTCTTTTCTAGTGCTTAATGTGAATCTTATTATTTCATATCTGTTTCATCCAAACATAAGCACTGAATCCTAAACTCATCCTACTTGTTCATCTGTAGCAGCCTCTCTGGTCAGTGGAATTCACTATTCCCTAGTAACCATGGAGGCCTTGCCCTTCCCTTTCCATCCACCCTTGGTATTTCAGGTATCATTAAGTCAAGACCCATCTTAGAGAACAAAAACAGAAATACTTCCTCTATTCTTAGCATAGGAAAAAAATGTTAAGAAAAGTCCTACAGAAGAGTCTGGATTTCTGTTTGATATGAAAGGAGTAAATATCTAATAACATTGGAGATTTTTGAAAGTTCATACCTGATTTGCACTTAGTTAAGTTTTATTTCCTGGTGTTTGCTGGATTGAAAGAAACCTTTTAAGATGGGCAAGGAGAGCTAGCATCCTTGTGAACTGAACTCAGACTTTTTCATGAAAAGTTTTTATTTTAACATGCTGTTTTCTTCTTCACAGGAGTTTAGGTTTGATCGTTTTACAGAAAATGGTAAGAAGAAAACTGCCTTTTTTAAAAGAGGGAAAAAGCTGAAGTATTACCACTTGCCATTTGGACTGGGAGTCAGCAAATGTCCAGGCCGATTTTTGGCCATGGTTGAAATAAAGCAATTGTTGGTTGTGCTTTTAACTTACTTTGATTTAGAAATAATTGATAATAAGTCCTTAGAACTAAACTATAGCCGCTTTTTGTTTGGTATTCCTTACCCAGACTCTGATGTTTTATTTAGGTACAAAATAAAATCTTAAGCTAAAAGTAAAGGAAAGAAATCTATCTAGAAAACTAACCTAAATGTCCTCAGTTCATCTCTTTGTTTTTAATTTCTTCAAGTGTGATTGCTTTGTTTGTTTTAAAAATGCCAATTTCTATTTCATCTGAGATCAGTCCTATCTGTACTTGATCACAAAACTGATCATAAAAAAAAAAGATTGTAGCATGAAAATGGACATTAAAATCAACATAATGATAAATTTAAAGTAATTTTTTAAGTTTCTACATATTGTGATTTGCAGATGTCATTGTAAGTGTGCCTTCACAGTAATAGATCTGACACTGTGGGATTTTGTTAAGTCACAAATTCTTCTATAATATGTAAAAATATACTTTATGTACTAATGGAAATTTATGCTGTAAATGAACACAGTCTAACAAATTCCAAGTTCTCAGAGAAGAAGGAAATTAGATTTCCATGAGATACACTAGATGAAAATGTTCCCTTCAAGTATAATATCAATAATATCTATATTGCTGGGGTACGTTTGCATTAAATGAGGTTTGCGGTAGATTAAATGCTTCAACTTCACTTCAATATTTAATCATCCATAAATGTACTTTATTACTTTGTATACTGTGGCTCAGTAGAACAAAATTCCTTGTTATATAAGGCTACTCATGTTCAAGTTAGATACCGATAAGATTTATCAGTATAAGAACACACAAAACCTATTATATATACAGCAATTGCCCTAGACATTAGTATTAGGCTTATTGTAGGAGTAAATGTTGAGATCATTACAGGATTGATTATAGCATTTGACTCCAGTGTGAACTGTAAGGGTTATGCCGTTTTGTAATTAACTTTCCCAAATGCTTCGATTTATATCAGCTGAGAAACTAGATAGCAGTATTTGCTCTTGACGCCTCACCTTTTGGACTGGGATTTGATTGGTAGTGTTTGAATTACAGCATTATGTAATGCAGTATAATTCCATATGCCAAAATGTAGCATCGGCTGGATGGTTCAAAGATTGCTAATATCAGATTGCCAAATGATGGTCTGTCATTCAACTTAGGCAGGTAAATAAGCCCAGTTATTTCATGGGAACTTCTAGTTATAACTTCTAGTTATTTCATTGAAACTTCTAGTATTTCAGGAATGTGTTTTCATTTTTGAAAAGGAAATTTATCTTTAAAATAACATTATAAAATACCGAATCATATTTAGTAGCTAAATAGCTTTTCTAGCATCTATTTTTCTCCTTCCTGAAGTTCATGCACTAAACGCTCCTTAGGGAAGATCTGTCAGTCTAAACTTTGTTTTTGCCAATTTGAAGATGCTTTCCTTTTTGTCCTCATTCCTGCGTTTGCCTTTTTTCCTGTTTTGATATCTCATGTTGTTAAGAGGTGAACCTTCATTTGGTTTAATTATTCAGTAGGTAGTCTGCCTGTTTTCTCTGACAGCTTTAACATGCTGTCTTTGTCTTTGATGTTCTTAGGTTCTGTTTTATTGTGCTTGCATGCCATGGTGTCTTTCATCAAGCTGTCTTTCACAGTCATCATCTCTTTGAATATTTCCTCTTTCAGCTCTGTATCTTGTTTATAGTCCATGTTGTTTGACCTTTTCTCCTTGTATTTTTTTTTTATCTCTAATTTATATTCTAGGCCATTTCTTTGGATCTTTATATCGCTTTCAGTTTATTCTACTCTTTAACTCATCCATTGGGTTTGTTTCTTCTGCCTTTTTATTTTAACCTCAGGTTCATAGAATTGAGTGATCACATGCCTTATACCCCTTAGTTCACGGTACACAATTATAATTGGCCCAAACAAGGCTTTATTTACTCATTCTATTCTATCCCTAATCCCTACCATTATGCCCTTCCCCATCATCAGGAAATATTCTAATGTGTTTGTTTATTTGTAGGTGTATAAAACATATGTTATTATCTTGGGTGCATGTGTTTTTTAATTTTCATGAATGTCTGTTCTATACATTATATTCTTAATTTTTTATTAAGCACTATACTTTAAAGGTATATCCATATTACTTTATATGTATTTGATCTATTGCTTCTAACTACTGTATAGTATCTCATAATGTGTACTCACGATGTTTCAGTGCTCTATTCACCCAGTGATGGGAACTATGTTGGTGGGACAGTTAATTTGGGGGAAAGGCCAAAGCAGAACCTAAAACTCTTGCCCGCACCCATCCTCTCACTACTGCATGCCCCACCCTCCGCCCTGGGCTGCCAGAAGCCCTGTTGTCAGCACCACCCGGCCACACCCACACACACAGACACACAGTCCATGACAGCCTTCATTCTCTGAGATGCTCTAGACTCGTGTTTCATGCTCAGGTCTTTACCACCCTCTCCCTTCTATGGGGTCTCCAGAGCTGATCTGAGCCACAGTGCCAGCCGTCAATTTGTCAGCTTTCAGAATTTCAATTCCCCTTCATGTCATAAATTTTGTGGTTACATTTTCAATTTGAGAATTCTCTTTTGTTCCTCCTATCTGCCTGGTCATTTTTGACAGTATCTTGTTCCTTCATCATACACTCAGTATCTTCTTTCATTTTAAAAATATATTAAGAAACTTCTATTCATATCTGGTATTTCCACATCATCAGTGTTTTATGGGTCTGATCCTGTAGTTTGTTTTTCTTTTAACTCTTCCTCGGAATTGCTTGTTTACTAGACTTGTTCTTTGGAATTTTATGCCTGGAATTTTTTTTAAGACCCGAATTTAAAGTTCACACCTCCAGAGAAAATTTGTGTTTGCTTTCATCTGGCTGCTGTGAAATTGATCTATCAAATTCAGATCAATTTAAAATTTCACCTTGAGTATTTTGAGAGGGGATGGGAAACTACATGGGCTTCCCCAGTGGCTCAAGGGTAACAAATCCGCCTCCAATACAGGAGATGCGGGTTCAATCCCTGGGTGGAGAAGAGAATGGCAACCCACTCCAGTATTCTTACCTGCAGAATCCCATGGACAGAGGAGACTAGCGCGATATAGTCCATCGGGTCGCAAACAGTCGGACACGACTGAAGCGACTGAGCACGCACACGTGAGAAACTGCATAGATAGGGTGGGTTCTCACCCTAAGTCACGGAGAAGGCAATGGCACCCCACTCCAGTACTCTTGCCTGAAGAATCCCAGGGAAGGGGGAGCCTGGTGGGCTGCAGTCCATGGGGTCCCTACGAGTCAGACACGACTGAGCGACTTCACTTTCACTTTTCACCTTCACGCATTGGAGAAGGAAGTGGCAACCCACTCCAGTGTTCTTGCCTGGAGAATCCCAGGAACGGGGGAGCCTGGTGGGCTGCCGTCTATGCGGTGGCACAGAGTCAGACACGACTGAAGCAACTTAGCAGCAGCAGCAGCAGCAGCCCTAAGTCAGCCAGATTGCAACCCTATGAGTAGGGATAAGCAAGAATACCCAGTCCTCTGTGGAGTGAGGTTTCTTTCTAGTCACTTACTGAAGATGTTGCCTCTGCAAGTTCTTGCCTTTGCGCACAGGTCTTGGATTAAACACACACACACACACATGCACGCACACACGCCCCACCCCCTTCGGGCTGCAATCTTTATCCCATCCTGTCACAAGGTAGAGCCCATTCCTTTTGTACTAGGACATCTATTCCACCATATTGCCTGATGTGGAAACCTCCAGATTGTTAAATTCATCTTAGTAGCACACTTCTGTGCTGCTATAGCAGAGAGAGCACGGAAAAGCATTCTATTCTAACTTCTGCTTAATTTATAGGGAAAGGAGTTTAAAGTGGAAATATTCTATAAAAGCAATGGATGGAGTATTGTGACAGGCTTAAATCTGGTCATTAAATATTGTCTATGAATAGAATAAATGTCATAGAGAATAAGTTAAAAGACATGAAATTTAGCTATGACATAATTGATTTACTATTATCTACAAGTCACTTTGCCTCTCAGTGTTTCAGTTTCCATATTTGCAAAATAAAAATAATAAGGCCTTTGGATGCCAGGGTTCATTATGAGGATTGAACACAGTAAGATGTGTGAACTTATTTTGAAAAGTGTAATGCAATATCCAAATGCAAAGTTGTAAGGAGATACTTTGACAATGCTGTGCCTTTTAAATTAAAAACTGTTTGTATATATTTGTTTAAGGGAAGCATTTTTTGTTATTTGTTAAATGATTATTCATTTATTCAGTCAAACATTTATTGAACATTTCCTCTTAAATTGATACTATGCACTGGATTACCCTTCTTCAAGAACACACAGTTTATTAGAGAAAGCAATATATACCCAACTAATTGATTATAAATGTAGTTGTCATAAATTTGTCTTCCTAAAACTGTTTTAAAATTCTGATTCAACACTAGTTCTAACTTACCTTCCATTACTCATTCCAAATTAGTGTTCTGCAATGAGAAATTACTATATGCCTAATTAGATACAACAAAACATATACATCCAGTATTGTGATTATATGTTAAAGATGTCCAAAACAAAATACAGTCATTGAGGCATCAGAATTTTTTAAAAACTGTATTTTACGTATAGTAAAAACCCACCCTTTTCATTTTTACAGCCCTTCCTCTAAATGTCAAATTAAAGAAAATGAATGACTGGCAGTATTATTTTATATCAGTGACCAACTGAGGCACTCATTTAGCAAAAACTAAACACTCTGAAGATATTCAGGAAAAAGCTATTTGTCACTAAGTAAACAGTGTTGGTAAGCAGCCTATTTGGGAACTTTAATCTGCCTTGTTTGGCCTTCCTGACACACTTCATTATATTTTGTCCATTTTATCATTAAGTTTGGGTCACAAATCTAAGGCAAAGGAGCTTCGATTCTCAAAATTTGCATGATTAGCTCTGTCTATTTTCTTATGAAAAATAATTTGAGTAGCCTTTCTATAAGCTAATCCTTCTAATTGAACCATGGAATCTTAAAACAATTTCAAAGATCAAAGCACAAAAATTATCTAGGTTTTGATCTTAGTATAACATCAGTAATTTTAAAATAAGAAT